GCTTAGAGAGCGGTATGGCTCCCATACATGCAATAAAAGAAACACAAAAAGCATTATAGAAAAGAGGTTCCTGGGATACGGTTATGAATTTGAGGATGGTTTCCTGGAAGAGGATGTTCTTCATACTGACGAGCAAGAAAGCCACCATCATCATTGTGTGAGGACGAACGATTTCTGCCAGGAATTGTTCGAGAAGGACTGGGACAGTCAGGCAAATGCTGTCGATCGTGAAAAAGCATTGGCTAACGCTTTCATTTCTACTACGTCTCATGCGGGTACCATCAGTGAACTCTTGACTGTCTTCAACCATAGACCCTTCGCCATTTCCACAGGTGGTATGATCCCCGTGGTAGTCAAGGCAACCAGAAGAATAGATTAAAACTACAAGTCTCATTATTCAATAAAAAATTTTTATAATGATCCTAAATAAATTACCTTTTCCAAACGTGATCAAAGTGATCTGACGAACTAAAGTAAATTTAAAGTCGCTCGGACAATGGTTTATATCTTCTTCTCTTCAGTGGAGGAAGTCTCAGAGGCTGAGCCCTGGCGCACACGAGGCTCCATCTTGTCCTTAGGATCATTGAAGCTCTCTCCAGACTCCTCGTACTCTTGAACGATGGTACCGTCACCCAAGTTGGAAAGGTCATAGCCGTTGACCTTCAAGTACTGGATGAAGTTCTTGTCCTCGTCATTGATGGCTTCCTGGCCGACAGATGGGCAAAAGAACAAGGTCAAGACAGCGGAGAAAAGACACAAACCAGAAGAGATGTAAAAGGCGGTTCTGACACCCTCGTCAGAGTCGGCACCACCATTGTTCTTCAAAATGATGGGGAAAATGTAAGTACCGACGAAAGCACCCACCTTACCAATGGCAGCAGCAATACCGTAGTACTGACCTCTGACAGCTGTAGCTGAAGTCTTGGAAGCCAAACAGCCAACGTTATTACCTGGACCAAACTCACCCAAGGCAGAGAAGACACCATAGACGACAACAAAGCCACCAATCTTGTGCTTCAAAGAGTGGAAACCGGCTGTCATACCAAAACCAACAATTGCCTGTGCGGTAAGACCACCAGCCATAGTAAGACGAGGGCCGAAGTAATCGGTAGAAAAACCACCAAGGAAAGTACCTGGAAGATAGAAGAGGTTGAAAACAACATTCCATCCAAATGACTTGTACATGTCATTGCCAGGAAGAATCATTTTCAAAATGTAGTTCGAGTAAAGACCGAAGGAGTAAGCGGAAAAATCGTAAATGAACCATACGATGGAGACAACTGACAACCTGAACCAGTAGAATTTAATAACGAGCCACCATGGGAACTTCTTCACAGATTTCATGTTTGTCCTTTCGTATGATTCAGAGTTCTCCATCTTTCTTCTCATGAAGAAGAGGACGAATGGAGGGAAAACACCGAGGCCAAGGGTCAATCTCCAGACAGGCTCCAAATGTCTGTCGGAGAAAATCCACAACAAGACCATAGGCACGAAAGCGGCCACCACGTAACCGAAGTCAATGCAAGAGTTGGTGAACCAGACAAAGTATCTGTTTCTGTGACCAGGAGGCAACTGGTTGGCGAATTCAGATGCAATGACGGAAGAGGTAGGATATTCAGCACCGATACCCACACCCAAGAAGAAACGGAAAGTGGTCAAGGCGGCGAACATGCCCTCTGGAGTGACACCCCATGTGGCAACAGCACAGAGAAGGGTGAAGACGATAAGGATTATGTTTGCAGCCAACATACCACCCTTTCTGGCGAAATGGTCGGAGATGTAACCGAAAGATAACTGACCCAAGACAGTACCGGCGAAAGCGATAGCTGCAACATTGGAGATAGCGTTCGACTCTGCGTACTGGTGGGGGTAAAGGGTAGACAAACAGGTGGTAACAGCAGAGATGGAGTTATTGACGTAACCATCAGAGAAGAGACCAGCACCGGAGATGAAGGCAGGCCACAAGTTCTTGAACTGGACTTTTCTGACCGCCTTCTCGTTTTCGGCGTCAGCCTCTTCCACCAAAGCCGAATTTCTATCACGCTGAGCCTTGGTCAAGGCTAATTCGCCAGGAATTCTTTCATACCATCCGCAGACGGCTTCTTTGACAGAATGCGGTAAGTCTCTGGTAGACATTGTTGAATGTGTGCCAAGTAAAAAAGTAGCCCGTTGCCAAGGTGAATTTGACAGGAAGATCAGTGAGAACTAAAGTAAGGGTCTGCTTGGCAATTGAAAGCCTTGTTTTATGGAAGTGATGTAGAAGTGAAAAATAAACGATTGGAGGGAATGGCGGATCAGCGTGGTTTTATATGCGTGGGATTGGCCCGGCAAATGCACTATATGAGCCCGAGCTAGCAGCACTCACTGCGACCAAAAGCGCCGTATGAGAAGCAAAAAAAAAAAAAAGGACAAAGCCTATCTGTGCTGCACGGTTGCCGCACCCGCAGATGGACGAACGTGACAAAAATTAGCTAATAGACCCGGTTCGCGATAGGATCATTTTTCCCTTTCAATCGGGCTCTTATCTTGGAATGTAGCGGCACTAAAACGTGGAGGCTTTTAGATAAAGTCTTCTTTGACCTAGCCTTAACATTTCACTTTTCAACACCCTCCTAGTGATTATCCCCGATTCCTGGACCCTGTCACCTAGGAGCCGCAAAGTGGCCCACGAGGGCACTTTAAGGTCTCATGAGTATTGGCCGAGTCGCACAGCGCCTTTTGGCACCACATGGCTAATGCTGAAACGTGGGGTCTTTGGTCGTACAAAGGGGACGATTGACTTTGGCTAGCAACTACGGGTGATAAAACAGCAGATTCTCAATTCTTGAAGATTTCTGAGGTTCGGGTTCCTCGGGTTGTGTTTCGGTGCTACCGCGCTGATCCAAATCTCTCACAAGACACTTAGCCAGCGCAATCTGCGTAGTTGCTTCCGTGCGTTGCTTGGAACGCTTTTAACGCAGTACTGTGCCTAACCGAAGGAATTGTTCCTTTTGATGCCGTTTCATCCGGATCAATTATTGTCGTAATTAATGAAAAGTGAATTTCCGAATGGGCCATGCGGCAATAGCAAGATCGGTGCTCAACTCGCGACCGAGGAAACTTCTTACGTTTTCGGTTGCATCCGAGCTCTGTCGCTTTTGCCCGAGTTGTGCATCCATTGCAAAATACACACAAAACTTCATACTTGAACCGTTATCAAAGGATTTCTGGTAATCACGCCGGGCGGCTCGTGGCAGTGACGCTATGCATTTGGCAGATATCACGAATTTATGCCAGGTCTCCAATTGTCATCTCGCCTCTGGTTTGGCAGCTGTGCAGCCCCTGGTCCATGCAGTCCTGTCAGTCTTCGGTTCCAAGCACCGTTCGGGCCAAAATTTCCCGATTCGCTAGTGGCTTCTTTAAAGCTTAATTCTAAATTTCTATGACTCGATTTTACTATTGTAAATTTTCATTGGTGCGTAATAACAGCAACTCACCTCTTTCAATTATGTACTGAGTTAGTTGTCTAGGTATATTTATTTTTTTTCGAAAAAGAAGGAATCGGCTCCCTCAATTTCTTACCCCACTCCCAAATAAGTTATCTATTTCCACTCAACAGCGTACTTCAAAGTCTCTCCCGCCTTGAAGGGCACAACTTCTAATTTGTCGTTGCCAATTACCTGTGGTACAGCGTTATCGCGACGAACAAGCACCGCCTTATCTTGGCTCACCAAGTCTTCGTCCTCGATCTGATAGAACTCCCGTCCGTTTTCAGAAACAAATTTACGTAAATTCTTGAGCTTTCCAGCCGCCTCGAAAACTTCAGCAACATAGGCAATGGCGTTGCTTTGCGTGTAAACACCTGCGCAGACGCCAGTGTGCTTAGCCTTGTTCTCGATAGGGTGAGGAGCCGAATCCGAACCAAAGAAAAAGTATTTCTCACCAGAGGTGGCGGCTTCAACCAAGGCTCTCATATCAGCAGGCAACTTGGCAACAGGTTTGCAGAAATTAATTGGGTTTCCTGCCCATGAGTCGATAGTTAAGGAAAGATGGTGGGCGGTGATGGTAGCTGCGACCTTTGACTCAGGGTTCTCCTTGTGAATTTGACGGATTGTGTTGATGGCGCTCTCTGTTGTACAGTGCTCCAAAATGATCTTCAAGTTGGGGAAATCACGGTGCAACTTGAGAAGGGCAGGCATGAACTGAGGCTCTGCGTTCAAGACATGGATGTCTTCGTCCTTTGAAGGTGGCTTCTCGCCATGCAAGTTAAGAACAAGGTTGTTCTCTTCAAGAGCCTTAAAGATTGGGTAAAAACTTGAAAAGTCATTAGGGTCAACGCCAGCAGAGGAGTTGGTGGTGACTCCAGCTGGGTAGCATTTGACACCATGGATTGCACCAATCTTAGCCGCCTCATTGATAAGCTCAGGCGTCAAGTCTTTGCACAAGTAAAAACTCATCAAGAAAGTCGTTTTTGGTGAAAGTCTCTGGAGATCATTCTTGTACTGGACCACACGATCAATGGTGGTGATGGGAGGAACCAAGTTGGGCATCACATATGCGATGGACACACCACCTTCCCTGACAGTGGGAGTGATAAGATCCATCATTTTACCATCACGAAGATGGACATGCATGTCAGCGGTGATACCAAGTTCGATTTCGGACATCTTAATTATATACTGGTGCTTTTCTTGGTTACTACCGTAAAAAAAAAAATGCTGAAAAAATCTATTGTAGATCTCGATAAGCCACACGTGATGCACCCCAGATTTTAGACACTTTTCGAAGTTTAAGATTCATGGGGAAACATTTCGATGGTTTCCTTTGTGTCATGGTTCACTAGAATCGATGTTTGGATTACATCAATGTATGGTGCTTCAACTTGATGAGTGAAAGCCTCAAGCATCTCGTAAACGGCCTTCTCATCGGGAGTTCCCGCGGGTTCACCTATCCATAAAACGATAAGGGAGTACTCTTCTGTTGCTTTCAGTAAAGAAATGCCTATAGTTGGAACTGCTTTGTTAGTTGTGATGGTTCTTTTGCTTAGCGATACACATACCCTTTATACTCATTGGCTGCGAAATCTTGTCTAATAAGATTACTCTCGCAAACTCCTGGAAGCAATGGAGTTCGTCAGATGGCAGGACTTTCATAAAGATCGACAGCTTCGAGTAGGCATTCTTTGTTGTTGGCGTGACCTCTGCTCTAAGCAAATGCAACTTTCTTCTCATTGTGTATTCTGCGTTAATCGTTCCAATCATGAGTCCTAGTGCCTTCGTATTGTTAATTTTCATCTTCGACTCAACCTTCTCGTCGTTTTCTTCTGTTTGAACCCATAAACACCACTGGCTAGGAAAGACTTCGAAGTTTGCCCTCCGCTTAAGTTGCCTCTCGGTCTTGAGATGATGATATATGAGACAATCATGCTCATTCGATAGAATCATTTTGGTAGCCAGGCAGCTGATCAAATGGCGTGAGGGCCTGTCTTCGGAAGATCTGCATTCTTCCCTCCCATCAATCGTTCTGCCATCGTTAGCCTTGAATAGCGCTTTAACATGATCACGAATCTTGAATCGGGTGTAGTAATGTGGCTTTTCTTCTAGGAAACTCTCGTCCGAACTAGTCACCTCCTTGTCGGTTTCACAGTTGATGATTTCAGTTTCGAAGTCTTCATTACCTGACATTTTTGTGGAACACAACTGGTACAAAGTGGTTGCAAAAAAGCCAGTGCGGCTCTGCTTCGCACATAGGAACCTCATCTTCAAAGCTTCTTTACACCCCCATGAGCTCCATCTTTCTTCCCCATCTACGAACTGGTTGGCATGTCGATCAGGCCATCTTATCTGAAGACGAAAGACTTGTCATCATCCGATTCGGCAAGGACTATGATCGCCTGTGTATGATAATGGATGAAGTACTCTACGGTATCGCCGAGAAGGTCAAGAACTTTGCCGCTATTTATGTCTGTGACATAGAACAGGTTCCTGATTTCAATGAGATGTATGAGCTTTACGATCCTTGCACAGTGATGTTCTTTTACCGCAACAAACACATGATGTGTGACTTCGGTACTGGCAACAACAACAAGCTCAATTTCCTAATAGACAACAAGCAAGAGATGATTGATATCATCGAGACGATATATAGAGGCGCCATTAAGGGCAAAGGTTTGGTAGTGAGCCCGAAAGACTACAGCTCTGCGAGGATGAGGTAACTACAACGAAACGTGGGAAGGCCTTTGTAGGGATTCAGACATTCTATCTACTCCTGGACTTCGTTTTGAGCAAAGAAGAAGTTCACAGCCAACAATTGAGAGCTGCCACCGTGCTTCTTGAAATAGTCTCTGACTCCCGAGCCAGGCTGTTCAGTACCCCAAGTGGATCTGTCTGGTGGGGTAACCAAGTTGGCCTTGGGGTCCTGCTTGTATAACAAGAAAACATACCTGTGCTTTCCGGTCTTCTCTGGAGGACCAGGGCCGACGTAGCTCAAAAGCTCATTACCCTTGCTGATGTCCAAGATTGTCGACAAAGATTCCTCCGAGTCGGCATTGTTGGTGTTCAATGGCAAGTCCGTGACGAGCCAGTGGGCGTATTCGGACCACTTCTTGTCACCTCTGGTTGGTGCGTCTGGATCAGTCAACACCAAGGTGAACTTGTCGTCACTGTTCACTTGCAATTCCTTCTCCTGGTTAGGGGAGTTCAAGGTGAACTGTATGGTGGGGATGTGCTGGGTGTCAGCTACTTTCAAAGTGTTGCCCAAGGTGACATGGTGGTCTTTAGAGTACTCAATGGTGAGCAAACCCTGAGTATCAAACTTGTCGACAACATCGGGAATAATGGAATGCTTGTTGTAAGCTTCATCCAATGATTGGGAAATAGTCATTAAATTCATTTTGGGTAGCCGGAATTTAGGTGTAAAGAAGGAGGGCCTTGCTTGTCTGGCTAGAGCACCCCTATATATAGAGAACATCACTCAATTGCTAAAAAGAGGAGGTTACCATATACCACATGACGTACAAGGGAGCGTGAGCAGCCTATATAGACCGTAGTGCACTTAACCCCAGTGAGCGGCTCAGTGTTCGCCTCCCGCTCCATTGAGCGCCTCCCGACAAGATCCGAGCTCCTTGCATACAATAACCTAAAGGGGTATCTCTGTAGTTGTCTTGATCTGACAATTTCTTTTTTTATTCTTAATAAGGTATGGAATTGAAGGCTTTAAAAAGTATGGGAGTCTAGGTCATTATTGTTCTGCAAAAAGCAGGGTTCAAAATTGCTCAAGCGACTAGAAGTTTCCATTTTTTTGTGTGGCATGAAGAAAGTTGCGAAATAGCAATATTGAACAGGAAGTATGAAAAATCGACCTCTGATCAAAACAACTTTCTATTTTGTCCAACGGTCGATTTGAGTGCTTGCCATTGCTATACGGGCTAATTGCATACTAATGTTTGCCCTGTTTGACACAATTCTACATTTTGCGCTCAGCAATTGATTAAAGTACATTAGGCTACTCATACAGGGTCTGCTTATACAGCCATTTTCAAATCCGGGCCACTGGGGCGTGTTCGTTTATCATCAACAAGACGTCTGCCACCTCTAGTAATTGTTTTCATAAGGCTGGTAGTTGTCGAAATTGTAACTCGAGCTCTCCTCGTTCTCTTCTTGTTTAACTCCATCATCTCTGGGCGCACCCATGTCGTCTAAGGGTGGAACTTGTTGTGGAAGTTCCTTATTGTCCGTTGAGCGGTTCGGAAGCTGAGGCAGTCTAGTTTGAGGGAGATGTGGAACGTTTTGTAGAGGCAGTCCTTGACTGCCGGGCAGGTGAGTATTCTGTCCCATAGGAACCGCGTTCTGAGGTGGCCCCTGAGGGTTTGCAGTGCCACGAATCAGGTTCACACCCATTGGTGGCTGCGGGAGGTGGTGCATCGGTGGCTGCGAAGAAGTAGTGACATAGCTTCCAGTTCGGGACTGACCGGGGAATGACTTCTTCGGCTTCTCTTCTTCGCGAGGAACAACATCAATAAGGAAATCAAACATATCACTTTTAGTCAATGCAGCTGCAATATCAGACTTTTGGAGCGTTCTCCGCTTATTCTCCTCGGCGTGGATCCACGCACGCATGGTCAACTCAGTGATGAAGACGTCACAACCCTTGGCGAACAAAATTGGCGCCTCGGCACTGATCATTCTCACCTCTTCATCTGTTTTCATCACCTTCTTGATTCTTGCCAAAGGTAACTGGTGATTTTTGAAATCATGGTCGTCATTTTCGATGGAGTCAATCGTTTCTTGCCAGTATTGCATCAACAAATCTCTATTTTTACCCGTCAAACCTTGGCCCACATTACCGAAAACTCCACCGGGCTGGGGCTGTGCTTGTTGCTGGGCCACAGCAGCATCAGCAGCCGCCTGGGCTGCTAAGAGCTCCTCCTCGTCCACTATGGGATGCAGCGTAGTCAGTGGTGGTGCTCTTTCCTGAACCGCCAGCATAGGCTGCTCATCAAATTGCTGGTTGTCGACTCCATTGTGACCCTGCTCCTGGTTGATATGAGGGAGCTCTTGGTCGTCCAAGTAGGCGTTGTTATACTCCATTCTTGGGAGCTATAGGCTGGTAGTGAGAATCTTGTGAGTCTCACGCAATGTGGTATACTTGGCACTCTTGGCTTCCACGTAGGGTTAGCAGAGCTCAGAACAAAAACTGGATGTCAAGCTCGACGATAATTTGAGACAAGTTAGGGTCTATCGTCTATACTTTTCAATTATGAACTGCATTTGGATGGTGATTTTTTCCTTCAGTGCGAGCGACCGGACAAGTCCACCTGCAGGAGATTATCGGCTTTTGGTCGCCGAAGTGGAAACACTACCTTACAAGATAATATTGAAGAGCTACACAAGACTCTGTTCGCTTCACAATGGGCGTCATACGTAGACAGCCAACTATCAAGAAAAAAAAAAAAGAACTGCGCAAGCCCGGAATCGAACCGGGGGCCCAACGATGGCAACGTTGGATTTTACCACTAAACCACTTGCGCGCTTCTTACTCTGTCTGGAAAACGACAAATATTGAAGCGTCAGACAAATTGGGTCACGAGACACAAAACACGTGATCTAGGTGCAGGAAAGGCATCAAGGTTGAGGGCAGACATAACACACTTCGATGGACAGTAGTAGTTTTTAGTGTGTTGATAGTTAGATAGAAATGAGAGAGAAGGCAGCCAACAAAGCAGCCTTGTATAGTTGTCATAAAGTAGGGGTTTCAGATTCTGAAACACGAGTGGGGGCTCTGGTAGTGCCTCGGAGTGTCACCCGACCGCGAAACTTTGCATCAGGATGCTTTTGACTATTGTTCGACTTGGCCGAGGATTTGACGAGGTATTTTGTTTTTTCTCGGCTCTTTACTATAGGAGCAAAATATTGTTTTGACAAGGACATAAACCACAAAGTCCTAGCCTACGTTAAACTCCAAGCACCGAAAGGGATTCCTCAGACGAGCCGTAACACTTATCAGCGCAGCCCAACGCAATGAAGTCTGAAACCATTTACAAAATTAGCCAAATCGCCAGCGTTATAACTCCCTACAGAGGCGAACGCGATCCAAAAGTCATCAATGATTATATGCTAAGCTGCCGGGACCTTTTCAATGGAAATCCTGAATACGACAAACTCCTTATTCGGATGCTGGTTAAGGATGAAGCCAGAACTTGGCTTAGGGTATGCCAGGAGAAGTCGGAGTGGCTGCAGTTAACCGGCCCAGATGTACTCGACCAACTCAAGGCAATTTTCTTCCCTGCAAATTACGAGGATGCTGCAATTCACACCATCTGGAAGTTAAATCGTGGATCCAACTCCCTCTCATCCTACCTAGAGCAGTTCACCGAGTTACAGCAAATCATTCCCGCAGAGCACCTTACTGACGCGGAACTTTACGTCTTTATCACTGAAGGCTGCGGTGAACCTTTCGCTACAGACCTTAGACGTTATGGGATTACAAACTTCCCCGACCTGCTTGAATACCTCCAGCGCCAAGCAGACATGTCTGCAGCTGATTTTTATATAAAATCTCTTCATCCAACGAATGGACGAACTATTACCCAAGGAGAACTGATTACGTCGAAGTGAGCTAGAAGGGCCCACCGCCATGGAGGACAATATCAACGAAGTGCTGCTCGTGGTCTTCGCTGTGGTGCTAGGAAGATTATTGCATGATATAGTGAAAATATCCAGATGAGAATTTATATGACAAAACTTCGAAACTCTTGTTCATTTTATTGTATATTTGGTATATGCTGAGGGGATTGCCAAAAATCAACACTCTCACACCCGCCAGGAGTTGAGAAGCTTGAGATGGAGATATAGAGCGCTGGCGCCTTTCATTCCTAACGAAAAGAAGCGAAATCTCCAAAAGGTACCAACAACGCCAAAGTAGAAGAGTGCGTAAATAATGAGCTTCACAATCTTTGGTGCCTTCCGGGCAACAGCGGTCTCAAGGACGTAACCAGATACAAAAATTGCAAAGTACAATGCTGGCACGTAATGATGCAAATAAGTCACTCTTCCCATAAGGATGAACGGTAGGTAGTGTAACACATACCCAGCTATTGGGAAGACAAACTGAGCGATAAATCTGTTCCATTCAGTGCTTCTAACATTCAATTCAACAGATTGTCTTTGCCACATGTATAGCGTTCCTGTCGCAAAGATGATGCTCACCACAATCGAGAGCGTACTGAACCAGGTAACGAATGGGTTGCCCATGAGGAAATACTTGGAACTGTCTGACCACCAGCCGCTCATTCTCAAGCCAGTTCGCAAGATCGGCCATTCCCACCATCTTGACGCCAAGTGGTCGTAATGGTCTGGATCAGGAATCAAGGCGTTATTCGAGGCCATCATTCCATAATTCAACAAGATGAATTCCTTCCAGAATTTTGGCTTTGGAGCAACATATTTGGTTTTGGGCGATTCGAAATCATTATTGACATGGTCTTCGATGTTCCACCATGCACTTTTATCATTCTTTAACAACACATTCTTACAGGTGACCTCGCCTTGTTGGAAGCCCCAAGATGGATAGGAATAGCCTGTTGTAGCCAAGTAACAACCAAGTACCTTGTGACGCAACCGGAAACTAGTCGAGATAGGGTGAATCTCAGAAACACTTTCATTTTGAAACTCGGGGGATGGAGATTCTTCCTGAGATTGAACTTCGATCACCCAATCATCTTTTGAGTCATTCACATCGATGTTGCCGTAGCAAGAAGTCTCATAATGGCCCTTCAGCACTGGTGCTGCGATGGAGTGAGAATGCAAAAAGCAGCCACGATCCTTATGCATCAACCTGATAGTGTCACCATCCTTGACTAATGTCTTGTAGTCGAGAATAACATTTGGATTATCTTCATCGAAATCAATCGTTGCGAATCGTCCCTTCATAGCGTTCTCCAAATCAAACTCGATGAGAAACTCATTATTGTTGTCTTTGTAGCCATACGTCGTTATTTGCTGTTGACGAGACCCCTCTGGATATAAGTGAGGGTGAGAATGCAAAAGGTTGGGCAGAAGGCCTTGTGAACGAAGGGTAACCAAGGAGCCATATGCCACTGAACGAGGTCCGTTTTTCAAGGTGTTGCCCTCCAATTGGGCCTGTAGCAATGTCGAGATAGAGCCATCACCTGGTCCAGACCGGTTTAAGACTTGGAAATGAACCTTGAAAGCCATGACGTATATGACAAATGGAATCGCAATCAATGTCACGATCCTGACGAACCAATGTCTGAGGTAAATTGTCCAGGAAGTGACTTTTTGCGCTCTGAATTGCCGCTCCAAAACTTCGTAGAACCGAATGAGCAAGTCATATATCGTGTAAAGGCCCACTAGAGCAGTGACGAAGAGACCCACCCATTTCACAGAGCAAACACAGCCAATCGACACACCTGTGAAGGCCAACCAGAGACCACCGGGGAGGCTAAGAAGCTTGTTTCTTTGATTGAGCTCATGGATTTTACTAAGGCCGAAAAATGTGGTCACCGTGAAAAAGAGAAGCATGGAGTCCAAGAGGATGAACTTGGACAACGTGAGGGACAACATCTCGAACACAACCAGCAATGAAATATACCACACGGTATATAAGGAAAAGCCCAAACTCAATGCCGTGAAGTAAGCAAAAGGGGTGCAAAGAATTCCAAACACGCAGTTGAAGTATCTCATGGCGATAATATTGAACTCGCTAGGGAACTCTTTACCACTCTTGAACTCGAACGATCCATCGTAGCCCGCTAGCCAGCCAGAGAGACCAACGAGTAACTTCCCAAGAGGTGGATGGACATCGAAGTAGAACTCGTGTTTCAAGTAGTGGGATCCGAATTTTCCAAAATGAGCTTCATCCCAAATAACCTTGGGCACGTCACCAATTCCATAGAGCCTCACGTAAGCCGACAAAGCAGTGAGTAGCAATGGATTAAGAACGTAGACGAAAATGTTCAGCACGGTCCACCAGTTTTTGCCTCGGGATTCATCGATGGAGAGCGACGAGGTCTGTTTGATAATACTATCGAGATCCTCACTACTCGCTATAGTGCTAGAATTGGCGACTTGGTTCCGGTGCCTTAGCGTGCCTAAATCATGGTAGTCTGTGCCCGAGGTAAACGATTCCTTGGGGCTTGAAGACATTGTACAATCTAAAGCAAAGTTGGAGTTGAATGTGAAGGTGTAAGTGGAGATTTCTATATAGGTCGCGCAAGCGGACACACGGTGGTGAGAAGCCACGACGTGGGCGTTGGGCCAAACAAAAATAAGAAAATAATAAACAACGAGGGTTGACACGGGCGACCCAATTTTTTTTATTGCATTTCTGAAGAGTGAAGGTATAACTGCCCCGGGTATTCCCCACTGACCGTAGTGGTTTCACTCAACTCTGCATCGAAGACACTATTTCCATGTGTTCGGAGAGATTAACGAGACCGCCGAAACATCAAGATTGCCACTTACCCTCAATAGTGGTAATTGAAGGACCGCCAACGATAATTCTATCCTCATTGTGAACGGTAACTTTACCCTGGCGACCCACCACAGTGCCTTGAGAAATGCTAACCTTGCCCTTCAACTCTCCAGTAGCAGCTAAGAAAGCCCCGGCAGCTCCCAGTCCAGATCCGCAAACTGGGTCTTCATTCACCTCCACAGCAGGGGCGAAGGTTCTCAATTCATACGCATCCTTTTCCTTTTGAGGCCCCAAAACTTGAATTCCGGTGATGCCCCAGGCTTCAGAAACTTGTCTTATTCCGCCATGATTGGGTCTGAGCGAAAGCACGGTCTCAGCGCTGTCGAGCCGGAGTGTGAGCCATTTGGGACCCACGTCGAAAAGAATCGCTTCGGGTGAGGTGTTCTTGATCTCCCCCTGGAAGAGATGCTTGGTAACGGCGGTTATATCACCAGGCGTACGCAATTGCTTAGCGTAGGGAAGCTGGAAGGAGATGAGGCCATCAGCCACTGTGAGCTCGACCAAACCAGCACCGCATTCCTGGTAGATTTTCCCGTCCCGAGGCTCGATAAGGCCTGCTTCAAGTAAGGCGTGGCAAGTACCTATAGTTGGATGGCCTGCAAAGGGCAATTCGTGCTCGTGGGCGAAAATACGGACTTTGTAACTGGCATCCTTGGTGGTGGGTTTCACAATGAATGTAGCCTCAGATAGGTTTGTCCAGCGGGACATTTGGGCCATCTGCTCAGTGGATAAGTCGTCGGCATCGAAGAAAACCGCCACGGGGTTGCCCTTGTATCTTGAATTGGCAAACACGTCAACCTGTTTGAATAGAGACATGGATAAGAAATATGCTATTGCAGCGGTTAAGTAATCATGAGGGTGAGTCAGTCGCACTGGGGTAATGACACATTGACCGGTGCTCACGGCGCAACCACGTTTACAATTAGAAAAAGAGGTTGGAGCGACGGAGTTAAAAAAATCATTATTTGGTAGCCGACTTTTCCGAAATTCCAGCGAATTTCGTCGGTATTTATCATCTCGATGGAACCGGCCTGCCGGGTTGATTGTGCGTCAAACGTACGGCATCGGATCTCGTAGTTTCCGATGTCGCTTGTGCAGCTCCGCAGCTCTCTATCTCGGACGGCGCAAGATTTTTTTTGAATTTAAACGGTAATAACTCCGCGAGGTTATTTATCTTATTCAGCTCCAGCTCGTTTTTTTATAAATACACGGCATCACGCAAAACAGCTTTTTTTTTTACTTATTGCGAATTGCTTAAACGCCTTGCATTTTTAAACATTGCCAGCCGTTCGATAACCTTCTGTTGTGTATAAGCTTATCGAGGCGCTTGCAAGTCATTCCCTGCTCACTCATCCTCACCACATGTCCCAACCGGAACACAAAACAGAGCCAAAGGAGGCAGACTCCCTGCTGATGGCCTCTGGCCAAAACTCCAATGAACTAGATGTCAACGAATTTCGTGGCGATGCTGATGAAACGAATCATTTGGAGAGGTCACCCAGCATGCTACAAAGAATGCAAACTCGGTTGTCTTTCTTCAATGACAAGCTCAAGGATGCCCGAAAGAAGATTTTGATCAAATACCTCCTCATCTATGCGCTCATGGCATTCCTCATGCTCGGCATTTTCTCCATCTATTGGGGAACCGGTTTCGAAAGAGAGCAGCGATACCATCGTCTTAGGATGTTGGTGGTCATTGAAGACGTCAACGTTGTCAATGATACACAGCCAGTCATCGGAAACTCATTGAGAGAGCTTCTAGAGCTGCCCGAGGCCCGAAACTATGGTGGCTGGTTGATTCAGAACAACACGGAATTCAACGAATCCGCCGATAGACACGGAATCTCAGCCTGGGAGGAGGTAGTACGCCAGGTTCATCATCAAAACTACTGGGCCGGTATCTATGTTCGTGCTAGTGCTTCCAACGATCTCAAAAATGCCATTTTATCCGGAGATACGTCCTACAACGTCTCGAGCGAGACAGTAAGAGTGTACTACGAGACAGGCCGTGACATGATGTCGATGAACTCTTACGTCACACCAAACGTTGAAAAGATGTCATCAATATTTGCTGCTAACACCAGTTATGTCACCAATTCTTTGATGTCAAGCGAAGATCTCTCGAATGTCTTCGCCAGCCCAAACTCACTCGCGGTAGCCAGCACACCTCTCCAGTTCCTGATGGAAGATGGCAGACCATGGAACGATCCGGTACTTTTTGCTCCATCACAGGTGGGATTGATTTACTTGATCATTCTTACCTTCTTTGCATTTAACTTTTTCAACGACGTTCACCTGACTGTGGCTCGTCTCGGCATCAAGACCCCTCACCTCGTTCTTTATAGAGCCTTGTCGTCCATTATCAGTTTCTTCGTCCTCAGTTTGATCTATTCCCTTGTGACATTGGCTTTCCAAGTCGACTTTGGAAAGGCTTTTGGCCGTTCAGGCTTCCTTGTGTATTGGATGACCAACTTTTTGACGATGTGGGCTGTCGGTGCCATGAACGAGGTTATGGCCATGTGGTGTATCATGATCTACCCTCCAGTTCTCGGCTTCTGGATGTTGTTCTGGGTCATCATTAACATTTCTCCCACATTTACTCCAATGGCGATTTTGCCCAAGTTTTACAGATACGGTTATGGTTTGCCAGTGCATGCCTCGTACGAGATCACCAAGGTTATCTTTTTTGACACTTACAAGGGTGCCATGGGCAGAAACTATGGTGTTTTAGTTGCTTGGGATGCCCTTGCTACCGTTTTGTTGATTGTCACCTTCAAGATTTTCGGCCAGAAAATGGGTGGCAAGGCGAGAGCTGATAGAGAGAGGTTGAAGGAGGAATTGAGAGAAGAAATCCAAAACGAGGAGTCCGTCGAAGACATTCCCAGAGAAAGAAATTAGACTATATTAATTATTCAGGACATACAGTCAAATTGATAGTAATTCGCAGTTAGCAATGGTGTCCGACACCTAGATGTAGTCTGAGTACAGTATGTTTACCTGAGAAAATAGTGGATCGATTTTTGCAACACTCTATTGCTAGCAGCCATACACCACAATACCCCTCTAAAACATGTCCCATCCACATAAAGAGGACATCCGTGGTCAACTCTCTGATATCCAGAAAAAGCTTTTTGGAAGCAACAAAGAGAAGGCCACGGCTCCGTTACAGCTGCCTGATGCAACGCAGGGTGCAAGACAACCACCGGGTCTGACGGGCAGCAGCTCTTCAGTGCCTAGATTGAGACAAAAATCGTCTTCATCTCATTTGGGGAAATTGAGCAACTCGAATAGACAAAACACGTTAGTTCCACAGCCTGCTCCAGCATTAGGACCCGAATCGAAAGGCCATGACATGAACTTCGTGGTGGGTTTGAGTGAGAACTTGCTTACAGAATGCCGTCGATTGACTGCTGAAAACAACAAGTACAAGACCAAATTGAAGGGAGCTGCAGAGGAGCTCGCCAAGTACAAAAACCAGGTTGTTTCATTGACCAACTCGCGTTCCTTTGCTGCAAGCAACGAGGAGCAGTTGAAGGATAAGAACTGGGAGCTCGAGGCTACAGTGACGCATCTCAACGAGGAGATTGAACAACTACGCATCACAAACGACAAGCTCGTCAAGTCCACGAACGAGTCAACTTTACGCATTACATCCATTCAGAAGGAGAATGACGAGCTTCGTCTCCAGCATAACAAGTTGGATTCAGATTTGCATAAGTCCAGGGATTCTTACGAGAAAGAAATTGCTGAACTTAACTCACGTATCAGTCTGCTCAATGACGAGAACGACCTCCTTCTCGTGAAAACGACGGAGAAGGCTGCAAAGGGCCCAACCGAGCCCGCCCCCATCGTCGAGAAGAAAGCCAAGTTTCATGACATCCTGACCTCAGAAGACCTAGACCCTGTTGACCTAGACAGCATTCTCACTGCATCGGAAGCACTTCCTCGCGAGCCAGACTCGGGTTCTTCCAACACAGAGCTTCGGGTGGAGACCCTCAAGGCTAACCTCGACCATGCCCACAAAATGGTGGCCAAGTTGAGGGGTGCTTTGCTCAAAACTAGGTTTGAGAACCAAAGCCCTCTGACAAGGGAGACTCCTCGCAGCAGCAAGAAGTCGAAGCAGAAGGATTTCTTCCCCCCACCCTCCAACCGCTCATCTGCAATTTATTCACCGGCAAAGAGAAACTCCAAGTTTCTCGTGTTAGATGATGAGAGTGGTGACAGTTGGCCTCAAGATGAGAAATGGGAAGATTATATCGAGACAGGTTCGGCCACACCGTCAAAACCAGTGCGCCGTCTTGAAAGCTGGGACGATGATAGCCCTCAAAAAACGCAGCCAGATGTTCCTCCTCTAGATGACTCCGAGTCCTCTTCCGACTCTGAAACTGAAGATACGACTCGTGCCAAGAGAGACATTCGCCTGGAATTGAGCAACGTTGCCGGGTTGACTGACGAGCAAGTTCAGAAATATGCTAAGGATAATCACTTAGTTCTTGTTCAACAGGATGAGTATGCCAAATTGCAGTATAATGACGTTAATGACATTTCAGAGGAGAGACTCAAGGGTGTGACAGAAATCAGAGGTCTTGTTTGTTTGAGCAAAAAGGAATACAACCGCCTTCTTGATGAGGAGGAAATGAAACTTAAACTTAAAGAGCGAGGCCTTGTTACAATCGATTCCCAAGAATACGAAACTGTCACGAAAGATGCGACATCTTACCTCAATCCTAAGGTTGACTATCTCACCGCTGCACTTGAAAAGCATGGCTTACAGACTATCGAGTCGGAATACCTAGAAGTCCTCAAGAAGAATGAGGAGCTTGTCTCCCGCCCGTCAGAGTCATACTTGAGGTCGAAGTGTAAAGAGGCTCAATTGCATACCCTAACGAATGATGAATTCAAAAATCTCAAGAAACTAGAGGCGGATCACCTTAACCCCGATAAAGCCTATCTCACTGAAAAGGCTAACGAACTTGGTATGATTCTCACTTCATCTGCATTCTATGACGAGCTTGTGGCGCGTGCTGACGAGCCCACCGCTGAGCAAATTATTGAGCATGGTTCCAAGAGAAATCTTCATGTATTGGATCATGAGAAGCTTCAAGCTCTTCAGTCTCCTCTGTTGAACGATTGGAAGGCCAAGGCAGCTTCTTACAACTACACTGCAATTCCTTCCGCTGAGCATGATAAGCTCCTGAAGTTGGCATTCGAGCCAACACTTGACAGCTTGAAGTCTCATCTTGGCAAACACGACCATGTTGTTGTGCCAAGAGGCGACTTCGAGAAACTAAATGCGAATGCCAATCAACCTCTGTTGTCACATCTTCAAGAAAAAGCCAAGGCACAACTGTACAGCGTTATACCCACTGAAGAGTTAGACGGCTTGATTACTAAGATTGACAATCCTACGATTGAATACATCAAGGAAAAAGCAACTGGTCACAAAATCATTGAGAATGGGCAGTTCATGTCTCTTCTCCAAAAAGCACACGAGCCATCTCTTGCTCAGGTTCAAACTCACGCCGAGAAGCACGACTTGGTGACAATGGATAAATCCGAGTATGCCGATCTTTACAAAACTTTCAACGATCCCTCTTTCGATTTCCTTAAGTCCAAGGCAGTCAGTAAAGGCTATCAGTTGTTGAAGTCCGATGAATTGCATCGTCTCCGCGATATCGAACATGCACCATCTCGTGAATTTATTGCATCAAAAGCAAATGACATGGATTGCTCTGTAATCAATAAATCTGAGCTCAAAAACCTCGAGGAATTGGCCGAAAACCCTCCTCTCGAACGTGTTAAAACTCTTTTGACAGGTTTTGGACTTTGTGCTATTGAATCAGACCAGCTTACATCTTTGCACAAACAATTGAACGAGCCAACCTTCGAAGAAGTCTCGGAAAGAGCTAAGAGTGTTGAATCTATCATTTTGAAAACCTCAGAGTATGAGGAAATCAAGCATGCTGCTGCAAACCCAAGCATGGAGCTCATCGACACTAAGGTTACCGCAGACGGCTGTATAATAGTTCCGAAGGGAGAGTTTGAAGATCTCAAGAAAATCGCAGAGGAGCCATCCTTGGAGATTATTGAAGGTCAGGCTGCAAAGATCAATATGCTGGTCATACTGAACAATGAGCTCGAGAACCTTCGAACAGAGGTTGAAAATCCAGGAGTCGAGACTTTAGAGAAACACGCCGACAAACACGACAAATTGTTGTTGTCTAAGACTCAGTTTGCAGAATTAGAGAGACGTGCTCAGGATCCATCCTTATCCGAGCTAAAGGAGCATGCCGAGCGTGCAGATCATGAAGTCCTACCAGTTATGGAGACCCAAAAACTCAGGAAAAACCTCAATGAACCAAGCTTAGATTTTATTCAGTCGCATGCATCGAGGTTGAGTCATGTTTTGCTTTCGTCTTCCGATCATGAATCTTTGACAGAGACTTCGAGAAACCCATCATTAGAGAAGTTGAAGGAAAGAGCAGAGGCTTTGAATTACGTTGTTTTGGAAGCAGATGCTTACAAAAAATTGAAGCAAGATGCCATTGAACCATCAATTGAACTCCTTCGCAAGCATGCAGCTGCTCACTCGCATGAAATGATTTCTCAAGAAGAAGTCATGAGTATGAGAAAAACTATTGACGAGCCTGAACTTGAATTCATTCAACAACATTCCTCACGCTTGAAACATACGGTACTTACCCATGACGAGTACGCAGCCCTCAAGACCGCAGCTGAGGAACCTTCGCTCAGTACGATCGAAAGACAAGCGGCAGCTCTCGATCATGCTCTTGTTAAGGCTGAGGACTTCGCAGCCTTAAGGAAGGCGGCTTTGGAACCAGATGTGCAAGAGCTTTCATCACATGCCAAGCGTCATGAGCTTTTGCTTATCAGTGCAGTGGAACATGAAGAACTCACCAGGAAGGCTACGACGCCGAATGATGGAGAGCTTCGGAAATTTGCCGAGGGAAGCGATTACGTGTTGACAAAGAAGCATGAGTTTGAGCAGCTCCAGCAGCAATTGCATCAACCTGCAAAGTCTTATTTGGATGAAAAGGCAAGTGAGATTAAGTTTAGATTGATTGCGGAGGACGACTTTGAAAATCCTTCAGCGGAGTATCTTGAATCAAAGGCAGCTAAACTCAATAAGCGTGTTGTTTCAGAGGATTCTCTCAACAATTTGGAAACCCTTGCGAAGCAGCCATCTTTGGAACATATCATTGAACAAGCTGGTAGGTTGGAGCAAGTGGTTGTTAGCAAGTCGGAGTATGAGAATCTTCTTAAAGAAGCAAAGGAACCTACTTCCACTGCAATTACCTCAAAGGCGTTGGCACTTGGGTTATCTGCCATTCCTTTGGCGGAATATAACTCTTTGAAGAAGACCTCGGAGAACCCTGATCCTACTTGGATCGCCAAGGAAGCCGAAAAGCGTGGAAATGTTGTCATAGAGAAGAAGACTCTTGACGAATTACGCACGCTAGCTCATCAGCCAGGCGTTGATCATTTGACAAAGTTGGCCAACGAAAAGGACAAATGCTTGATTGACATAACTCATTTTGATGATCTTGAGAGACGGGCACAAGAGCCCACATTGGATGAAGTGAAGGCGTTTGCTATCAAACACGAGGGAGAGTTCATGCGTAAGCAAGATGCTGAAACTCTTCGCCTGCTAGCCAACTCACCTGATATTGACGCTGTCCGCGAGCATGCTATGAAGCACGATCACGTTCTTTTGCCAACTTCTGAGTACAGGGCCCTTAGTAGTCCTGATGTTCTGAGGTTATCGGAACTCGCCCAACCACTTAATGTGTCCCTAATTGCGAACCATGAGCTCGAATCTTTGAGACAGTTAGCACATGAGCCACAGATTGGGGATCTTTCAGAGAGGGCGCTTAAGCATAACCATAGTGTTGTTCCTACTCAGGTATATGAGAGCATTTTGTTGAAGGCAAATACTCCAGATATCGATCATTTGAAAAATCGTGCAGCCTCTCTTGATCATGCGGTGATCAAAAAGTCCGACTACAAGAGGTTGCTCGGGTTAGCAAGTACCCCGGATGTGGATCACGTTAAAAAGCAAGCTACTCGTTTACAGTTGGAGCTCGTTCCCAAGGAAGAGTTGGTTTCTCTCAAGAAGTTTTATTTCCCAGATGTTGACTCTCTCAAGGAGGGAATCTCCAAGCATGGCATGGTTGCTGTTCCTACCACAGAATTTGAAAAGCATCTTGAGGATAAGGAGAGGCTCAACACCATGAAGCTTGTGACTCACGACGAGTATGACAATTTGCTTTCAATCACTAAAGATCCTTCTATGGCCTTTTTGGAGGAAAACGCTGATCGGGTTGACAAGGCTTTGATCAGCAAAGCTGAACTTGAACGTTTGTATCATAACGACGAAGAGCCGGATATTGACTTTTTGACGAGACAAGCGGAAAGACAGGGATATCAGCTTGTTGCGGATGATGAGTATCACCTGCTTAAGGAAACCTCAAGCTCTCCATCACTTGATTTCCTTCTCACTAAAGCGCAAAATGCTGGTCAAAGGGTTATTTCACAGGAGCAGCATGACGAGATGACCAGAACTGTTGAGAATCCGTCGATTGAACACCTCAAAGTGAGAGCATCTCAGAAGCAGATGTCTTTGATCTCGAGTAATGAGCTCCAGAAACTTAAAGCCACAATTGAGGATCCCGGAACCGAATACTTATTCCAAAAAGCAGAGCAAAAATCGTTTAAGCTTCTATCCTCGGACGAATATAAGAAGCTCATAGACGCCATTGAAAACCCTTCGCTCGATTACTTGGAGAAGAAGAGTCAGTTGAAGAATCAAACTTTGATCGAAACCGCTGAGCTCACAGAGATGAGGAAGAATTTGTCAGAGCCATCTATTGATCTTCTTCGTCAGAAAGCTCTCTCCAAGAACCACACGATTCTCAAGACTTCCGATTTCCAGGTGATGAAGCAAAAAGTTGATGAGCCCTCCGTCGATGACTTATCGGCTCATGCATCCTCAAAGGGCTTGGAACTTGTGCCTTCAACTGATTACATGTCGCTTAAAGAATACAAGTCCAAGAGTCTCGAGAAGTTGGCTGAAGAAGATGGCTTCAAGCTTTTGAGTGCTGCTGAATATGAAAAATTACTTGACGACGCGAAAACACCTTCGCTTGATAAGATCAAAACGGTTGCCACCTCTGAAGGTTTTGTCATTCTCAAGAAGGATGAGCACAGCAGTATGATCGAGAAAATCGAGTCTCCAGCGCTTGATCACATCGAGAACAAGGCAAGAGCCCACAAATCTCGCGTCATAAGCGATGAGTCGTACGACGAGCTTCGTGAACCTTTATCAGTCAAGATTGAAAAGGCTGGAATGATAGGGTTGGCCAAAGAAGAGTACGATCAGTTGAAGAATCCTTCGTTGGAGGCCATCAAGCTGTTGCCACACGCAAAGGGCTTTGCATTTGTACCAGAGTCTGAATTTGCTGTCCTTTCCCGCTCGCTTGAAGCTAAGCTTGAGGACGCAAGCTTGGTGGGTGTACCCAAATCTGATTATCAGCAATTGCGCGAGTCCGCTGAATCACCCGCCTTCGAGAAGATTTGTGAAGTTGCTTCCAAGCAAAATCATTGTGTGATTTCCAAGACAGAGTATGATTTGATTTCCAAAGATTTGCTGCAGAGAGCACTGGAGCAAGGAATGACGTTGATCAAAACAGAAGAGTTGGACGCTCTCAAGTCTAAGATCGATTCACCTACAGCTGACTTTTTGAAGAGTGCTGCGATCTCTGCTGGCATGATTGCGGTCACAAAAGAAGATTTCACCTCATTGACAGAGAAGGCGAACAAGTCACTCGCAGACCAAGCCCAAGAGCAGTCTCTTGCAGTACTTCCAAGGGTCGAATATGATGACTTGATGGGCACAAGACAACAGTGCGAGGAGCTCTCGGCGTCTCTCGACGAACTTAAGCGCCAATACGAAGCGCCCTCGCTTGATTATCTTCATCAGAATGCTGCTACTAAAAATTGTGTTGTGGTTGACAACTCCGAGTACGACAAATTGAAGTCTCTGCATGAAACATCAATTTTCGATAAAGCAGCTGCTTTGTCGATGGTAGCAGTGCTGACAGCTGACTTCAAGAAGCTCAAGAGCAGTGCTGATGAGTCGATCGAAGATCACGCCTCAAGAAAAGGATTGACCATCATAAAGCCTACTGAGTTGGCAGAGTTGAAGAAGAAGAGCGAGCATCCCTCGGCTGAAACTGCAAGAGCTGTGCTTCAATCAGAAGGAATGACTATTCTTCCTACAACTGAACATGACGTGTTGAAGGAAAGGGCCAGTCGTACTGTCGAAAGTCTCGCAGACGAAGCTGGCATGATTTTGGTTTCCAAAGATGATCACGAAAGGAACGCCAAACAATTGAGCGAGCCATCAGAACATTTTATCAAGACGAACGCTGCCGCTTTAGGCTTTTGTTGCATTGAGAGCGCCGAGCTTGAAAAGTTGAAGAAGGAGGCATCTCTTTCTGCTGTGGAGAAGGCACAAATGTCAGGTTTGGCAACCATTGGAATGGACGAGCTCAAGGATTTGAGAGCAAGGCCAGCAGTTGATACTATCGATGATCTTCAGCGTATTGCGGAGACTCACGACAGCACAGTGGTTTCCAAGGCCGAATTAGATGACTGGAAAGCTAGAGCAAACCGTTCTGTTGAGGAACAGGTTGAAGGAACAGGTAAACTTTTGATCGCGTCAGAAGAGTACGATGCTTTGCTTTTGAAAGCGAATAAGCCATCCTTCGAATTGTTGACAATGCACGCTGAGAAAAAGGGACTCACATTGCTTCCTTCTGATGAGCTTGAGGAATTGAAGACCAAGTCGGCGGAAACCCTCGAGGAGAAAGCCGAAAAACAAGGTGTTGCATTGATAGAGAGACCACGCTTGGAGGCATTGGAAGCGTCATTGAAGAATCCTCAAAAAGATGAACTTATTTCAAGGTGTGATGCATTGGGTCTTTCGGTAATCGAGGTAAATGAGTTGGAAGAATTGAAGAATAAGGCGAGTGTCGACTTTGAAGGGCAGATAGAGGCTGAGGGTAAGGCGATTATCTCTAAAGAGGAGATAGCTCTGTTGAGAGAAGCTGCCAATAAATTGGTTACCCCCGAAGAAGCGAGAGCGGTTCTCGTGACAGGTGGTTTCAAGGTCTTTACGGAGGATGAGTTCACACGGGAATTAAGTTCTAAGATCCCTGAACCACTTGGATATGGAGAGATGATAAGTGCTTTGGAAACAGAAGGTTATTCTGTGAGTAAAGCGGACGACGAGTTCAGAGACGCCAATGACTCCTTTGCATTAGATGTGACAGAGTTGAAGTGCAGTGCTGATAAATTGAACAAGGTCGTTGTCGATCGCGAGGAATACGAACGAATGTTGGAAAGCTCCGAAAAGTTGAATGACAAGGATCTGTTTAGCAAGGCAGGTGCGGCACTCGGTTTGTCTGTATTGAGTTCCGGTGAATTTTTGAAGTTCAAGCAGAGTTTGGCAGAGAAAGACTCTAGAATTCACGAGTTATCAAGGAAGGCTGATACCCAGTTGTCCAAGGAGGATCTTGCTAGAGAGCTGGACAAGCTTGGTTTAGTGGTGGTACGTCAAGACGAGTACGCTACTTTGAAGGATAAATTGACCAATCTCGAGGCTAGTCAAGAGAATGTTATGACTGAAGAAGAGATCAGCAAGAGAGCTGGAGACTTGGGTCTTTCAGTGGTCTCCGCCACCGAATTGCACAAGATGAAGAGATCGCTGATGATTGAATCTGACGTCGGACAATTGAGACAAGCTGCCAAAAACCTCGGTATGATCTGCGTTCCACTGTCGGCAGCAGCTTCAAATGCTGTAGCTGCTGATGCAGAATCTGGATCAGTGAAGCTTCTTCCTACCTCGGAGTACAACAGCCTCAGGGATAGCAACATTGACACAATTTCGGATGAAAAATTCAAGACTTACGCTGAAAGAAGAGGCTTCAAGCATGAATCGATGTTCCCAGTGTTGCCAGTGGGTGATGATATTCAGGAAATGTCGGAGACTTCACCATCGTCAAGACGTACTACTGGAGGTATTCCTCAGTCCAGATCGGTGGGCTCAAACTTGACGATTCATTCCAGGGCAAGCATGCTCGATTCAATCACAGGAATGTCTGTTGCAAGTAACATTTCGCTCACCGATAAGTCGATGATCCCAGTCATTACCCAAGTGCTTATTGGAGAGTATTTGTTCAAATACTACAGAAAACTTGGTCCTCTCAGTTCAATTTCGTCGACAAGACACGAGAGGTACTTCTGGGTGCACCCATACTCATTGACGCTTTATTGGTCCACTTCGAACCCTGTGTTGAAGAATCCTAATGCTTCAAAGAGTAAAGCCATTGCAATCTTGGGCGTGGAGAGCGTTGAGGACAACAACCCAATTCCAGTTGGTCTTTACCATAAGAGTATCATTGTGCATTCGCAAACCAAGTCTGTGAAGTTCACTTGTTCAAACAGACAAAGACATAACATCTGGTACAACTCGCTCCGGTACTTGGTGCACCGCAACATCAATGAATTGGATTTTGGTGGTCGTCATCACCATAAGAAGGATTCACCCGAGGCTGATCACAGCGATGAGGATGACGATGACGGTGATGAGCTTCCAGACATGACATTCGATGCTTCTAACAGACAAGCATTGCCCAGATCGTCCACGATACTGAGAAGCTCGTCACTTGGAAGATTCATGAGTTTGAAGAGATAGGTATTTACAAATTGAAAGGAGACAAGCAATTGAATTGTAGAATTGACATACATAAGGCATTAGTTCGAAATGAAGGAGATGAGAGACCAGGCCGCTAGAAGGGCGCTTATTTGGCTGCCAACAACTGGGTGAACTCCTGGATGTCAATCTCGCCGTCGTTGTTGGTGTCAGCTTCTCTGATCATCTGGTCGACGTCGGCGTCGGACAACTTCTCACCGATGGAGGTCAACACGTGTCTCAACTCAGCGGCGGAGATCTTGCCGTCACCGTTTCTGTCAAAGACCTTGAAAGCCTCGGCGATCTCGGCCTCAGAGTCGGTGTCCTTCATCTTTCTGGCCATCATGGTCAAGAACTCGGGGAAGTCGATGGAGCCATCGCTGTTGATGTCCACCTCGTTGATCATGTCTGTCAATTCACTTTCCGAAGGGTTCTGACCAAGCGATCTCATGACCGTGCCCAATTCCTTGGTGGTGATCTTTCCGTCGCTGTCCTTGTCAAAGAGGGAGAAGGCCTCCTTGAACTCAGCAATCTGTTCTTCGGACAATTTTTCGGCCTGCTGTTAGTTAAAAAGTCGTTATTGAAACAGCGCATGCATTGGGCGCCCTCAACGAATCACCACATACCATTATAATCTAGGGATCGCGTGTGGCAAGGTTGTTTAAAGAAAAGTTTGCTCTTGACACTGAGAAAATGAGTAGTCGAGCGTATCGTGACAGACTGCAGACAACGGAGGTGAACAGAAGTAAGAAAGGCTGGGCTGGGAATGCGAAGCCTGGATCAAGGTTAGGATTGGCAGGATTGATTTGACAGGATTTACGATGTGATTTATACTGTGCTCCGGAATTGAACTAAAGGGAAAATTAAACTTCGTCATCAGCTCGGGCCGATCTATTTTTAGCCGCCCACCGTGCCTCTAGACGCTAGGCGCCAGGGCCTTGTTCCACACAGGTGCCACAAACAGGGAAAGAAAACCGAAGCATTTCTGGAGTTATGGTCGCGCCGGAAGGCTGAGCTGGCGCGATTCGATCCGACAAACGCTTGCGAGGCACGAAAAATTGGCAGTGAACAGGAACAATTTATGAAAATTGGTACCTCGGAAGTTGCGGATACGAGCCATGGAAGCGAAGGTCGGTAGTTGCTCATAACGGTTTATTTTTTTTTTTCTTTACCTTGTAGCCAATTATTGTTTGATAACGACCGCATGCTGCAACTCCGGCCACGGGCCCCCTGGGCTTATGGGTGGGGTAAATTAAGGATATGTCAAAAAACGGCCTTGGGGTTATGGTTAATACCTCAATGTTCATGTAGCCAACCCGGTAATACCTCATGGTTGCAAAAGCAGCGAGCCAGTAGTTGCATAAGGTAAGTCAGGTTCCAGCAAACAGCGCCAATGCAAAAAATTCTTTAAGAATTCCAGCACTTTTCCTTCCATTGGTCCAGTTGCAATCTCCAAGGTCTAGTCGTAGACACTTTGCCGTTTTGTGGCTCCTCAGCCGCTTGCGCAGGGTGGTGTCAAGGGCGCATACACTCTAACGTCTCTGCTCAATCAACTCTATAGCACACTGTGCAGCCAGCACAGCCCATCATGGACGAAACGTACGAGTCGTTTCTCCGCCTGTTGGACAACTCGCAGTTGCTCGACCATATCCAGGGCTTGAGCCAGGGAAAGGAGAAGAACTGGTCGTTTCATGGCACTTCTACACCGACTGCAAGAAAGCTGGGGTCGCTTCGCTCCACGGAGTCGAACCCCTTTGATGATGATTTGGATGACGTTCTACTAGGTCTCAAGCAGGAGGATCCTGTGATGGAGATTGCAGAACACACTGACGACGATGGGGACGCTGGAGGAGGAGAGGTTGGTGATGAGGGTGAAGAAGAGGGCGATGACTGGGTACCAGGAAATCAGTTGATGAACCAAGCGGAGCAAAATGGACCGGAGGAACCGGGCGAAGAAGACAATGAAGAAGGCGAGGAGCCACAGGAGTCGATGTTTGCCGACGTGGGGCCGCTTCACGAGTTCGGCGATTTCGGCACATACTTCCAGAACAAGCACCTCAAGCAGCAAAAGGCTGACGACGCGTACATTGAGTGGGAGAGAAAGCGGCGTGCCGCAGCCGGCGAGCCGATCGAAGGAGAGGATATTTTTGCCGGTTGCGTTGTGTTTGTGAATGGAAACACCGTACCCTCGATGGGGGTCATCCACAAGTTGGTCATTCTTCACGGTGGCACCTTCCTCAGCTACCTCTCCAGCAAAGGCGCCGCTACGCATATCGTTTGTGACAGACTCACGCCGAGAAAGCGGATTCAATTCAAAAATTACAAGGTTGTGAAGGCGCAGTGGATAGCAGATTGCGTTAAGGAGAAGAAGCTCCTAAATTGGCGTGACTATAGACTCATTGATGATATTGACTATGACCAGCAACGGCTCGGCTTTGCTGTGGCAGAAACGTCAGATGACAAGCAAGACGAGTTTCCAGACATCGAAGAGGCTGACGAGGAAGCCGATGAGGTTGCTGCTGAGGAGGCAGCATTGCAGGAGGAGATTGTCGCCGAGACTACTGCTGTTTCTCCAGAGATTCCAGATACCACCGCAGCTGAAGCGGTCGAGCCTGCCATGCTTGACCCACTTGAAGGCCCAGCTCAGGACAGACCCATAGATCTCAACTTGGCTCAAGAAAGATCGCATACTTCAGCGATGGATGCAAAGCATCCAGACTTCCTCAAGCATTTCTTTGCAAACTCCAGGCTTCACCATCTAAGCACATGGAAAGCTGACCTTCGGGCTAGGTTCTTGAGAATGGTTGCAAAAGATACTCTTCAGAATAATCCGGATGCGACCAAACATACTAAAACGGAACTTCCCGATGACAGCGTTGTGCTACATATTGACTTTGACTGCTTTTTCGCCCAAGCATCAGCACTAGGCCATCCTGAACTTGACCTAGCCACAGATCCCATCGCAGTGTCGCATGGCGGCAAGTCCTCCGATGTAGCGAGTTGCAATTACGTTGCTCGTAAGCTGGGGGTATCTAATGGCATGTGGCTTGGAAGAGCGAAAGATCGTTGTCCCCACTTGAAAGTTATCGACTACGACTTCAATGCCTATGAGAATTATTCGAATTCCTTTTACAACTATTTACTATCGAAGAAGGTGTTCGATTCAATTTTTCCAGTCCTGATTGATGAAGTGTTGGTGGATGCCACTTCTCATTGTAGAGGCAAAGATGCTGGTTTCATCAAGTCTTTCTGCGAAGAAATTAGAGCTGACATCTACGGCCTTGTGAAGTGCACTGCCTCAATTGGTGCAGCTACAAACGTCTTGTTGGCAAAGTTGGCCACCAAAAGAGCCAAACCTAATGGGTTTTTCCACCTTCATGAAGACATCGAAAGTTATCTCGAGGGCTGCAAAGTCACCGATCTTCCTAATGTCGGCTGGAGTATTGCTGATAAGCTAACGAACGAACTCAATTTGGATGTCCATCCAAAGCAGCTACTAATCAAGGAAATCAAACACCTCTCTCAACAGCGTCTAAGTACTATATTGGGCGAAAAGATTGGTGCCAGGGTCTACGAGATGTGCAGAGGTATTGACAAGACTTCGATAACGCTCGACCTAAGTAGTAGCGAGGCTCTTCTTGGAAGGAAAACCGTGTCGGTGGATGTCAACTTTGGAATTCGGTTTGACAAATTCGAGCAAGCTGAATACTTTCTTATGCAGCTAGCGAGAGAGCTCCACACTAGACTCCTTGCCTTGGGAGTTTGTGGATCTGTGTTGACGCTAAGGCTCGCTCGAAGAGCTCCCAATGCACCAAAGAACCCTCCCAAATTTTTGGGGCTTGGTCTCTGTGACTTCTTTAGCAGATCATCGAGAATGGGTGTCCCAACTAATGATTGGGGTATCCTTGGGTCAGAAATGAAAGCTCTTTTCCGAGTCATGAATATTCCAGTTGAAGATCTTCGTGGCATCGCAGTCAGTTTGGGAAAATTGGAGGACATAGAGGCTGTCAAAAAACAAAGGCAGCAACGACTCGAGTTTAACAGACCCAAAGCAAAAAAGCCTGTGAAGCCTTTACAGAGCTCCCAATTATTTGAGTATGCTGACACAGTCACAAACAGCGAGTCAATTGATTGGAATGTCTTCAACACACTTCCTGACGATATCAGAAGGGAGTTGAAGAAAGAGCTCTTGCGAAGGGGCATACCAGTCTCTGGAAAAGAGGCAAGTCCTGTCAAGAAGAGCTCCACCGGAAGTCCAGTAGGCAAGGTGTATCTTCAACAATTATTCCCAACACAAACTAACGGTGATTTCAAGATCGCTCGAGTTGTTGAATCACCCAAGAAGAAAAGAAAATTGGGGATCTCACCCAAAAAATCAACATCGCCAGCTAAAGTACCCAGGTCACCAACTCCTTACAATGATACCGTGTCATACGATGAAGAAGTATTGGGCGAGATTCCAACGCTCATCAGAGAAGAGTTCTTTAAAGACTTGGCATGGCAAAAGAAAAACAAAAAACTCAATCCAGTGTCCTTGAGGACCAAACTCGAGCAAAAAAAGGAGAATCTTAAGGCCATAGGTGATAGTGAAATAACCTCCGAATGGGTTAATGCCCAGCCAAGAGCCTTGGTGATTGAGGGCCTTGGAGGTCAGCAGTTCGATCTTTTCAGTATCCTTGAACAGGTTCAAGAGTGGGTCAGACTGTCTCTCGAGCATCAGGGACCACACCCTGATGACATTCAAATGTTCAGCGACTTTTTAATGAGCTTAGCATCTCAGGGAAATATCAGCGCATGCACAAGAATATTATCAACCATTGAGAAAGAGATTGAACTTCACAGCACAATGTTGGGTGTGTGTTCGAGCCTGCAAGCAGAGACAATCGCCTCAGGGATATCCGACTGGCGCAAGAGATATGAGGAGAACCTCAAACATGGCCTTGTGAACTTTCTCTCACTAAAGAACATTGAATTACGACTTTGAACGATAATGACTAATGATTTATAGATATTTATGATACATCTGGAAATTTAGGTCCAAGCTTTCTACTCCAATTTGCGTCCCATCTTCTTTTGCTCTCCGCCAATGCACCTCCTTTGAGCTTCTTCAAAAGCTCTTCGTTACTTAAGACATCCGTGATGAGACGACAGAGCTCCTCGCTCTGTGATACTGACGTATTGTCTGGTACTATGAGGCCATTTGTTCCATCAATAACGAGTTCACCAATTGAAGGGAAAGAAAGCGAAATCACAGGTACGCCGACACCAAAGAAATCGACGATTTTCATTGGCAAGTCGATACCGCTCAGGGAAGTGTGCAAGGAAATACCAAGGTCGGCCAATGATAAGATGGTAGGATATTCCTCCGAGGCAAGCCATGCATTCTTTATAATCACACGCTTCAGAAAATTGAGCTCATTTACCCTCGACAAGAACTGATCTTTGAGAGGGCCTTTTCCGGTTACGATAAGGAAGATAGGATCGCTCTTGCTGGCCTCAGAATCGTCGTAACTCTTGAGAGCATCCAACAATACACCAAAATCCTCATCGGGAGTGAACGAGGTCGAGCTCACAAGAATTTTGTACTGCTCTATTCCAGGGACATCCTTGAATAGTGGATGGTCTCGGAGAAACTCCTCCTTCGAAAGGCCAGTTTCTTGAATGGGTTGGAACTGAGTTCCAGGACGATCATGCAAAGTGGAGATGGAAGAGGGGGAGTAACCGAACTCATTGATTAGGAATGATTTCATTGCATGGGTCACTGTAATGTTAAGCCAAGCAAACTGTCCCAAGGTCTTTTCGTAGAGTCTCAATATCCTCACCAATGGGTGCTTTTCATTGTTGTACTTGAGATTCAAGATGCTGTAGTTGAGGTTGTGCCAGTCAATGACCAACTTAGATGATCTGCTGAACAATTTAATGAAGACAACCAATACTAGTAGGAGCGGCATCGACGGAGGGTTTTGTATAACGTAGTAATCTGACCCTCTTACATCCATGAGAAGCTGGAAGAGCTGGAAAAGCTGAAGAACCACCTTCTGAGCAGCGAATGCCAAATATGGCAAATTTGCCTTGTTCTTGATGGGAACGATAGGGCGAATGTCAATGTTCATGTCTTCAATCACAGATGCTGGGGGTTCGCTTTCCAAATACCCACAGAGATTCACGTTATAATCGAGCTTCGAAAACAGAAGTGCATGATAATTCATCCTCGGAGAATGGCCCAAGTCACCTAGCACTAGTATCGTGACGGTCTTTCTGTTTCCATGAGGACGCTTGTACATGATAAAAGGAAGTATCATATAAACCAAAAACGGAACACATAAGTAGA